TAACACCCACATGCACGTTAATACTATGTTCAATAGACGATAGTAACACAGAACAGGCTGTATACCCTCTCATAACACCCACATGCACGTTAATACTATGTGTAATAGATAGTAACACAGAACAGACTCTGTACCCTCTCATAACACCCAGATGTACGTTATTACTATGTGTAATAGATAGCAACACAGAACAGGTTGTATACCCTCTCATAACACCCACATGTACGTTAATACTATGTGTAATACATAGCAACACAGAACAGGTTGTATACCCTCTCATAACACCCACATGTACGTTAATACTATGTTCAATAGATGATAGTAACACAGAAGAGACTGTATACCCTCTCATAACACCCAGATCTCCGTTAATACTATGTGTAATACATAGCAACACAGAACAGGCTGTATACCCTCTCATAACACCCAGATGTACGTTAATACTATGTGTAATAGATAGCAACACAGAACAGGTTGTAGACCCTCTCATAGCACCCAGATGTACGTTAATACTATGTGTAATACATAGCAACACAGAAAAGATTGTATACCCTCTCATAACACCCAGATGTACGTTAATACTATGTGTAATAGATAGCAACACAGAAAAGACTGTATACCCTCTCATAACACCCAGATGTACGTTAATACTATGTGTAATAGATAGTAACACAGAACAGACTGTATACCCTCTCATAACATCCAGATGTACGTTAATATTATGTGTAATAGATAGCAACACAGAACAGACTGTATAGCCTCACATTACACTCAGATGTACGTTAATACTATGTTTAATAGATAGCAACACAGAACAGACTGTATAGCCTCACATTACACCCAGATGTACGTTAATACTATGTTTAATAGATAGCAACACAGAACAGGCTGTATACCCTCTCATAACACCAAGATTCACGTTAAAACTAGGTGTAATAGATAATAACACAGAGCAGGCTGTATACGCTCTCATAACATCCACATGCACGTTATAACTATGTTTAATAGATAATAACACAGAGCAGGCTGTATACGCTCTCATAACATCCAGATGTACGTTATAACTATGTGTAATAGATAATAACACAGAGCAGGCTGTATACGCTCTCATAACATCCAGATGTACGTTATAACTATGTGTAATAGATAGTAACACAGAGCAGGCTGTATACGCTCTCATAACATCCAGATGTACGTTAAAACTATGTGTAATAGATAGTTACACAGAACAGGTTGTATACCCTCTCATAACACCCACATGTACGTTGATACTATGTGTAATAGATAGCAACACAGGACAGGCTGTAGACCCTCTCATAGCACCCAGATGTACGTTAATACTATGTGTAATAGATAGTAACACAGGACAGGCTGTAGACCCTCTCATAGCACCCAGATGTACGTTAAAACTATGTGTAATAGATAGTAACACAGAACAGATTGTATACCCTCTCATAACACCCACATGTACGTTAATACTATGTGTAATAGATAGTAACACAGGACATGCTGTAGACCCTCTCATAGCACCCACATGTACGTTAATACTATGTGTAATAGATAGTAACACAGGACAGGCTGTATACCCTCTCATAACACCCAGATGTACGTTAAAACTATGTGTAATAGATAGTAACACAGAACAGATTGTATACCCTCTCATAACACCCACATGTACGTTAATACTATGTGTAATAGATAGTAACACAGGACGGGCTGTAGACCCTCTCATAGCACCCAGATGTACGTTAATAATATGTTTAATAGATAGCAACACAGAACAGGCTGTATACCCTCTCATAACACCCAGATTCACGTTAAAACTATGTGTAATAGATAAAAATACAGAGCAGGCTGTATACGCTCTCATAACATCCAGATGTACGTTATAACTATGTGTAATAGATAATAACACAGAGCAGGCTGTATACGCTCTCATAACATCCAGAGGTACGTTATAACTATGTGTAATAGATAATAACACAGAGCAGGCTGTATACGCTCTCATAACACCCAGATGTACGTTATAACTATGTGTAATAGATAGTAACACAGAGCAGGCTGTATACGCTCTCATAACATCCAGATCTACGTTAAAACTATGTGTAATAGATAGTTACACAGAACAGGTTGTATACCCTCTCATAACACCCACATGTACGTTAATACTATGTGTAATAGATAGCAACACAGAACAGACTGTATACCCTCTCATAACACCCAGATGCACGTTAAAACTATGTGTAATAGATAGCAACACAGAGCAGGCTGTATACCCTCTCATAACACCCACATGTACGTTAATACTATGTGTAATAGATAGCAACACAGACCAGACTGTATACCCTCTCATAACAACCAGATGTACGTTAATACTATGTGTAATAGATAGTGACACAGAACAGACTGTATACCCTCTCATAACACCCAGATGTACGTTAATACTATGTGTAATAGATAGCAACACAGAGCAGGCTGTATACCCTCTCATAACACCCAGATGTACGTTAATACTATGTTCAATAGATAGTAACACAGAACAGGTTGTATACCCTCTCATAACACCCAGATCTGCGTTAATACTATGTGTAATAGATAGCAACACAGAACAGGCTCTATACCCTCTCATAACACCCAGACGTGCGTTAATACTTGCTTAACATATAAGGCAGGTAGGTGTATATAGACAATTGTTTCTACATGAAATCCACATGGTGCCTTAGTTTCACAAGAAATGAAACAAACCTAATGACGAATTGTAATAAGTATTACTAATGACCATTATACGATGACGACATATTAAAGTCAAATGAAATACCTTCTCTGAGAAGATGGAGACGCCGTGAGAGTGTACCTGTGAACGTGATTGAAGTCCACCTGTTCGATACCTGTCCACACACATCTAACACGCTATCATCAAGTACTTCGTTGTACTAAATATAGTCATGGTCGGTCACAATGACTGCGATAACACAATGCAGTTAACAGGACAGTTTTTTGTGAGCGCTCCCCGATTTACATTTCCCGTTAAACTTGAAACGTTGGAGCGAAAGGCGTAAGTGTAATCGTAGGGGGAGGACAGGGCATGCAATCGCTACAACGAGACCTCAGTAACCCATGCCTGGCTTAAGACTAATCGTAGGGGGAGGACAGGTTTCCATACTTGGTTTGTGCAGGTCATCGTGTCCCGAATCTGTAGATCGATGCTCATGATGTGAGTCACTTGGGTGTCTGTACTGTTGAATTTGCCTGTGCCTGTGTCTGAGTTCATCGAGAAGCACGTTCACAGACAAAGTTATTTATTCATTAACCTATGATGTGCCGTCTCGAACACGTGGCTGTCCCTTTCTCTGCACTCCTCTCTCGTAACAAATAGTGAACTGTGTCAATATTTTAATGATAGATTGTTTAACAACTTTTTCATTTTTAGGACAAAAATTCTGCAAAATCCTCACAGGGTGGGTATGATGTTTTGATTATGATCAGCGTTCATTGAGTATGTTATGTTTATTAGTTTTCGACTTAGATTGCAATTCATCGGTCCACTTTTGAGCCAAACGGACTGTAGTCAGGACACATCGTTGTATAAGTGAAGTAATTTTGAATTTACTCCTTATCTCATCTCCCCACATGTGTCAATAATGTTTCTATTGATACCGTATTGTCTTCTTCCACATTATCCTGACTAAAGTAGGGATATTAACCAATGACAATACGAGATGAACAATGGTAACAGTACAATGTTTTACCTTCTGTAGCCGTTACCAAGCATGCTGTCCACATTATCCTAACTAAAGTAGGGATGTTAACCAATGACAATACGAGATGAACAATGGTAACAGTACAATTTTTTTCCTTCTGTAGCCGTTACCAAGCATGCTGTCCACATTATCCTAACTAAAGTAGAGATATTAACCAATGACAATACGAGATGAACAATGGTAACAGTACAATGTCTTACCTTCTGTAGCCGTTACCAAGCATGCTGTCCACATTATCCTAACTAAAGTAGGGATGTTAACCAATGACAATACGAGATGAACAATGGTAACAGTACAATGTCTTACCTTCTGTAGCCGTTACCAAGCATGCTGTCCACATTATCCTAACTAAAGTAGGGATGTTAACCAATGACAATACGAGATGAACAATGGTAACAGTACAATGTTTTACCTTCTGTAGCCGTTACCAAGCATGCTGTCCACATTATCCTAACTAAAGTAGAGATATTAACCAATGACAATACGAGATGAACAATGGTAACAGTACAATGTCTTACCTTCTGTAGCCGTTACCAAGCATGCTGTCCACATTATCCTAACTAAAGTAGGGATATTAACCAATGACAATACGAGATGAACAATGGTAACAGTACAATGTCTTACCTTCTGTAGCCGTTACCAAGCATGCTGTCCACATTATCCTAACTAAAGTAGGGATGTAACCAATGACAATACGAGATGAACAATGGTAACAGTACAATGTTTTACCTTCTGTAGCCGTTACCAAGCATGCTGTCCACATTATCCTAACGAAAGTAGAGATATTAACCAATGACAATACGAGATGAACAATGGTAACAGTACAATGTCTTACCTTCTGTAGCCATTACCAAGCATGCTGTCCACATTATCCTGACTAAAGTAGGAATATTAACCAATGACAATACGAGATGAACAATGGTAACAGTACAATGTCTTACCTTCTGTAGCAATTACCAAGAGTGCTGTCCACATTATCCTGACTAAAGTAGGGATATTAACCAATGACAACACGAGATGAACAATGGTAACAGTACAATGTTTTACCTTCTGTAGCCATTACCAAGAGTGCTGTCCACATTATCCTGACTAAAGTAGGGATATTAACCAATGACAATACGAGATGAACAATGGTAACAGTACAATGTCTTACCTTCTGTAGCCGTTACCAAGCATGCTGTCCACATTATCCTGACTAAAGTAGGGATATTAACCAATGACAATACGAGATGAACAATGGTAACAATACAATGTTTTACCTTCTGTAGCCATTACCAAGAGTGCTGTCCACATTATCAACCAGACAGTCATTCTGTTCACTGAAACAGAACAGAACAATTAAGTGATATTTTGTTAACATACTATAATAGATCAGAATCATAACCAAAACACGAAGACAAAGGGGACTTAGGCAGCTTAGTGATTTACAAGTGTATACTCCCCAGGAAGCTGAGAACATAATAATGACGGACACTGAATATGCAGCATATTGTGGAATCTAGTGGTGCATTCATATTCTCAAATGATGTAGTATGTTAACAGGAAATCAACAAAATAAAACTTCTTTGAGTGGCATTTTAGAAGTTGGGAAGAACAATATAGAACAAACCTTATGGATAACAACTTCTTTTTTATTCGTGAGTGCAAGATTCACAAAACTGGACACCCTGGTATGAAGGTTTGAACTCCAATGAACCTGCACAAAGTGAAAAGTCAGTTAATAAATTATCAGCTTTTACAACAGGGAAGTACTACGTTATGCTTTACTAGTGTATACTTCACAAGAAGTTGACTACAAGGTTCTTACACTAATGAAAGTCTTTATGTGATGTACTTACAATATGGTGGAACTTCTACATGGAATTCTGTTTATACTGTACACAGAAGACATGATTATTCGGAGCAAGAATCATCCCTATCTCCGATGTTCGATGCGGCTGGCGAGCATCCAGACCTTCTTGTGTAATCACGGCATGTTATACGAGTAGCAACCTGCTTATTAACAAAAACACTTCCTCTTCACTACCCTATTGCCCCTAACCAGGAAGGTGAAAATCTCTGGTAGCAACAACTGTCAAACATTTCCGTTTTCTCACATTCTGTCCAGCTAAACGAATTTCCTGAATCTTTGAATACAGAAATGTACTTGATCTAGACTACCAGTTGTCAGACTTTTCTTTTCTGCGTGATTAGATCGCTGCCTTTGTTTGCTGTCGATTGACGTGGTTTGAATTCCGGATGGGACACAGCCTAACAGAAGTACAAGAAGCCGTACTTAACTGACTGACTGACTGAGTTTAGTTTTACGCCGCTTTTAGCAATATTCCAGCAACATCGCGGCGGGGGACACCAGAAATGGGCTTCACACATTGTACCAATGTGGGGATTCGAACCCGGGTCTTCGGCGTGACGAGCCAACGCTTTAACCATTAGGCTACCCCACCGCCCCCGCACTTAACTGAGAAGGTATAATCTCAAATAAAAGATATAAATTGTATCTAAAGTGGGTTGTCACTGTATGTAGGGGTACTATGTAGTCACTGTATATAGGTGTACTAGGTTGTCACTCTATCTAGGTGTACTAGGTTGTCTCTGTATGTAGGTGTACTGGGTTGTCGCTGTATCTAGGTGTACTGAGTTGTCACTGCATGTAGGTGTACTGGGTTGTTGCTGTATGAAGGTGTACTGGGTTGTCACTGTATGTAGGTGTACTATGCTGTCTCTGTATGTAGGTGTACTAGGCTGTCTCTGTATGTAGGTGCACTGGGTTGTCTCTGTATGTAGGAGTACTGGGTTATCACTGCATAAAGGTGTACTGAGTTGTCGCTGTATGTATGTGTACTACGTTGTCTCTGTATGTAGGTGTACTGGGTTATCGCTGTATGTACATGTAGATGCACTGATGTGTCTCTTATGTAGGTGTACTGGGTTCTCTCTGTATGTAGATGTACTGGGTTGTCGCTGTATGTACATGTAGGTGCACTGATGTGTCTCTTATGTAGGTGTACCAGGTTGTCTCTGTATGTACATGTAGGTGCTCTGATGTGTCTCTTATGTAGGTGTACTGGGTTCTCACAGTATGTAGATGTACTGGGTTGTTACTTTTTTCTAGGTGTACTGGGTTGTCTCTGTATGTAGGTGTACCGAGTTGTCACTGTATATAGGTGTACTGGGTTGTCACTGTATGCAGGTGTACTAGGTTGTCACTGTATGTAGGTGTACTAGGTTGTCACTGTATGTAGGTGTACTAGGTTGTCACTGTATGTAGGTGTACTGGGTTGTCACTGTATGTAGGTGTACTAGGTTGTCACTGTATATATTTGTACTAGGTTATCACTGTATGTAGGTGTACTAGGTTGTCACTGCATCTAGGTGTACTAGGTTGTCACTGTATGTAGGTGTACTGACTTGTCACTGTATGTTGATTTACTGGGTTGTCACTGTATATAGGTGTACTAAGTTGTCACTGTATTTGGTGTACTGGGTTGTCTCTGTATGTAGGTGTACTGGGTTGTCAATGCATGTAATTGTACTGGGTTGTCACTGTTATGTATGTGTACTGGGTTCTCTCTGTGCGTGGGTGTACTGAGCTGTCACTATATGTAGGTGTACTAGGTTTTTGCTGTGTGTAGGTGTACTGATTTTCACTGTATGTTGGTGTACTGGGTTGTCTCTGTTTGCAGGTGTACTGGGTGGTCACTCTGTATGTAGGTGTACTGGATTGTCTCTGTATGTAGGTGTACTAGGTTGTCTCTGTATGTAGGCGTTCTGGGTTGTCACTCTATGTAGGTTTACTAGGTTGTTTCTGTATGTAGGTGTACTGGGTTGTCACTGTATCTAGGTGTACTAGGTTGTCACTGTATGTAGGTGTACTAGTTTGTATCTGTATGTAGGTGTACTGGGTTGTCGCTGTATGTAGGTGTACTAGGTTGCTCTGTATGTAGGTGTACTAGGTTGTTTCTGTATGTAGGTGTACTAGGTTGTCGCTGTTTGTAGGTGTACTGGGTTGTCACTCTATTTAGGTGTACTGCGTTGTCGCTGTATGTATGTGTACTGGGTTCTCTCTGTGTGTGGGTGTACTGAGCTGTCACTGTATGTAGGTGTACTAGGTTTTTGCTGTATTTAGGTGTACTGACTTTCACTGTAGGTTGGTGTACTGGGTTGTCTCTGTTTGTAGGTTTACTGGGTTATCACTCTGTATGTAGGTGTACTGGGTTGTCTCTGTATGTAGGTGTACTGAGGTGTCGCTGTATGTAGGTGTACTGAGTTGTCTCTGTAGGTGGGTTTACTGGGTTTTCTCTGTATGCAGTCGTATTGGTTTGGCTCTGTATGTAGTTTACTGTGTGTCTCTGGATTGTCAGATTTTTTCTCCATTTCAGATGGTATGGCAAACCTCCTGCATTGAAAACGTGCGCAGAAATATGATAATGTATTTTGTCAATATTCCAATGTAACATGTTTCCGTGACTATGGTTTCATAAACAAGAACGTTGTCGTCGATGGATTATGAAGACCTACAAACTGTAAATGGGACAGCAAGGAAACTGAAAGTACAGATGTGAGGTTAAATCACGTCTTTGTTTGTTAGCGAGATGTAAGAAATACTTCCTGGCTGAATTAGAGCATCGCCATAGTAATCAGTAAACACAAGAATTCGTTCACCGTGTCCTTTCATTACGCGGCAGTCAGAAGCACTCCAACAATTGCAGACTGTCTGTGACTTACTGAGACTTGACCAGAAGCCCGAGAGGTTGATATCGTGACACATGAAACCACGTCATGCAATCCAGTGAGTGAGGGAGTGAATATGGTTTTATGCCGCTTTAACAACATTCCAGCAATATCAAATATCGGGACATTAAAGATGGGTACCCGTATGGGGAATGGAACCCGGGTCTTCGGCGTGACAAGCGAACACTTCAACCACTAGGCTACCCAACTGCACCGAAATCCAGGAAGTTACCGACTATCAAATTCAGTGACTCTGGAATTGTCCAAGTGTAAAGTACTCAACCGAGAGGTACTGATCATCAACATGCGAAAATACAGTAACTCATAGAGTGAGTGAGTTAGTTTTACGCCGCTTTTAGCAGTATTCCAGCAATATCACGACAGGGAACACCAAAAATGGGCTTCACACATTGTGCCAATGTAGGGAATCGAACCCAGGTCTTCGGCGTGACGAGCGAACGCCATCACCACGAGGCTACCCCACCGCCCCAGTAACTCATAGAGACACAAGTTCGCAAGTTCATGTTCAGGGCCCTATGCATTCAATCCCCAAAGGAGCATTTTCGCGTTGTTGCAATTTCGCCCTTTAGTGAAATCAAAAACAATAGTATGATCCAATGCGCGACAACGGGACAAAGTGACGATGCAATAAATGGCCAAAACGTCACATTGTCACTGTTGATTTTCACGTTTTGTTTCTTTTTGAAAGGGCGAAACGCGACAATGTTCTTTCCTTGATTCCATAGTTTAATGAAACTTTCTACAAACTGTTAATGTACACAATGAGGCATATTCAGGATGTTTTTCAATTCGCTGTTCATGACTGCTATCTGGGTCAATTCAACAGCTCTTACTGCAAGGTCCTATGCAGCCTGACACTGCAGCTTGAACAAAACGACCCCCAATCTACGCGCGACACCGTCACTTCCTTGAACATCATCCAGCAGGGGTAGGAGGTACCTGGCAGTTGACCGACAGAAGAGAAATACAATCCATGCATATTGTTTAAACATTTCCCTAATTAATATTTATGATGTTTGAGTTCGTTTAGTTTATAGGTAAGAGTAACATTTGTGAATGGCATGACTGACTGTCACCCCGACATATAATAAGCTCGGCCACATTGTATTCTCGGGAAATACGCTCGGCTCGGTGCGACTGCAGAAATATCTGATCACGATATGTGGAGTAAGAAGCCACGGCTTGTTTGAGCGTGAGTGAGTTTAATTTTACGCCGCACTCAGCAATATTCCAGCTATATGGCGGCGGTCTGTAAATAATCGAGATCAGGCAATCTAGTGATCAACAGCATGAGCATCGATCTGCGAAATTGGGAACCGATGACACGTGTCAACCAAGTCAGCGAACTTGACCAGCCGATCCCGTTAGTCGCCTCTTGTGACAAGCACGGGTTACTGGAGGCCAATATTCTAACCCGGACCTTCACGGGAAGAGTGTGTCAGCCCAGGCGTGAAGTTGCCAAGTGCAGTGTTGTTCTACCAGTAGAATTGTATGCAGGTTGTATAATCAGACAGATTGATTGTGTAAACTTGTGAGCAGTAGCGGCGGTGGGTTGTTAGTTTTATTTATAGCTGAGTATGAGAAGCTGGGAGATATTTGTTACAACTGCGGACGTGTTGGGTTGATCTATGAATGAATTCACTTTACTACTGCGGTCAACCTGACATTGCACATGTCATCGTATCCCAGCTGAGTAAATAGTCAGTGAGTGAGTTGAGTTTTACGCCGCACTCAGCAATATTCCAGCTATAGGGCGGCGATCTGTAAATAATCGAGCCTGGACCAGACAATCCAGTGATCAACAGCATGAGCATCGATCTGCGCAATTGGGAAAAGAGTCTACCCAAGGATGTGTGATGGTGTATGGGAAGACACTTGGACTGATATGTTGTATTCTATTAGGTAAATAGTACAACCTGGTGTAATATATAAAAACACATTAGCAGATGGACTCATTGCTTCCGAGTAAAGAGCAACGTGACTGTTATAAAACCACAAACGATTAAATAGATTCCCTCCAGATATGACTCATTTCCCCTACTTTGTTTGTTATTTAAGCAAAAAAGTCATGTAACAGGAGTCAGCAAACAGCCAAGTGTAGATCACCAAAGCCAGTGATTGACATTATGAGCAAATGCACTGATCAGCCTGGGATTGTAGGACTACGTTCTTACGATAGTTTACGATAAGTTGTAACTTTCCGAACGCTTGTCGATCAGGCGTTGCAGGGGGCTTATTCAAACCAGAAATCACACTCCGGCGCAGTGATGACTTAGCATAACATCACTGCCACAGGCTAATTTGCATATCACGTGACCGGACTTTTCTCTTGTTTGTAAACAAACGCGCATATTCATAATAAGAAGAGACTGTCCTAACGCAAGCTTTTCGGCGCGCTCTTCACAATGTTTTACATTGTTACATGTATATTCTTCCACAACTACGACAGTAAGGTTTATGACAGTACATATTTAGATATCAATCTGGTTGCATCGTTTGCTCTTCGTCGGCTTCGGTGACAGCACGTGGATCCGCACAACCTATGTAAACTAAAGATTGCTACGCAAATCGAAATAGTGTCACATGTTTTAGGATATTTTCTCAGTGAAACTAAACCATTCTATCAAAGAATCGTGACATCTTTCTGACCTGTGGCAGAGATACTATGCTGGCTTGCCGCATGGAACTCTGGGTAGGAGAGTGGGCAAAAATGTTACAATTGTGGTGATTGGACACATTAACCACTATACATTACAGACAGGAGTATTTGAAGATATCAGTCGATAAACAGGGAAAAGGCCAAAGGACAAAAGGGCCAAAACTGGAAGGAAGATTAGAATACATTCATTACATGTTGTTGCAGTAGTTCTAATCCTAAACATCTCAGTGAATTAAACAGATATCAACAGATACCTCTGGCTACATTTTGTCACGGTTATCTTTATACCCATGTAACAATCTCAATCTGATTCATTTTCCAAAAAGACAGTTTAAACGAAAATGTAAACAGACAGAAAATTTATGTTGGACAGATGTTATCTCCAGCTATGCAGACTTGCGAAGTGATGATAAATCTGATATCCATACTTTAATAAATTTAATCCAATTAAATATGTACCATCCTTTGTCCGCTGGCATGACAAAGGATTAATATAACAATACAAAACAGAAAAAAAAAAAAAGTTTTCACGAATTTATGGCCGAACCACGTCAGTGGAATAATCAATGTAGTGTGTGGAGTGATGATGTATTGAACTTTAAAGATGTGTGAATTATGAACATTTGAACTACTAACTACTCTGGTCACATACCAACACCTGACTGTATGATGATCACTCTATATATTACTACTACATATTGATACAAATATAATAATAATAATAATAATTTTCTGAACGTTCCCCCCAAAAAAAACTGAGTTTAAAAGGTTTTTTTTGTTCTATAAAACATGTTTAGATGTTTACTAGTCAGTAAATGTGGTATATCATTGGTCTTGTCATTCTGAAATGTGTACTTAACCACATTTTGGGGTCAAATTTTCCTAATATCAATGTTCACAAATATTGTAAAAATAAATGCAAATAAGCAAATTAATTCATATTATGCCAATTAGGATTGATCAAACACACTCAACCTGCATGTATTTTTGTTTGAACTTAAATTTTGTTTTCGTTTTGTTTTTACAAAATGTAACATGCTTGTCCTGTTATTTTATGTCCTGACTGTTACCAGTGTATGAAGTTCCTGCAGTAGTTTCCCCCTGGAGCTGGATTGTAATTCTACTTCCTGTGTCTGCCCCTGGAGCTTGATTGTAATATTACTTCCTGTGTCTCCCCCCTGGAGCTGGATTGTAATTCTACTTCCTGTGTCTGCTTGAGCTACTTTCAATGGATATGTTGCCCAGAAATGGAAGAGGTGGAAGGCATGTCCTTTGAAATCATTTGGGGATCATTCATTCTTTTATTTTAGATTTACTTACAATTTTTTTGACCGTTGCTGTCTAAAGCGTTACCATTCTGCAAAGTTCCTTGTAACGGTTAGGACACAATGATTTGTATTTTAAAACGTTATTCTGTAATGTTTAAAATATAACAAACGTATAATTACTTTAAGAGTTAAGATAGTTTAAGCATGTAATTTTACTGTTCAAAGGAGTTTTGATGTAGTACCGGTCTGGACAAATAACAGTAACGGCCTGGACATATCTTTGATACATTTCAATGTTGAAGAATATTTTCTATGGTGTGCTAATAAATTTCTATTTACTTATCTATCTGCTTTAAATGATAAAAAACAAAACGAATTTATGGTGTTAAGTAAACACTTGCAAATCTTTCTAAAACTAAAATCGAACTTGAAACAATGAACGAAGAAGAAATGAAAGGAAATACAAATTCGTAATAGAAGACAATGGTATGAAGAAGGAGAGAAAACAACAATTAATTTTGCCATTTATCAACTGTTATTATTGATAACGGTCAAGAAATAACGGATAGGAAAACAATCATAAATGAACAAAAACGATTTTACGAAAACCTCTATAATTGATGATTGAGCCATTTTCACTAAGATAGTGACACCTTCTTTAAATGAAGACACATCAGATCAACTGGAACGTGAAATTAGCCTTGAAGAACTTGCACATGCTATTATATCAATTAAAAAAGTACTGGATTAGATGGTTCTTCCATCGAATTCTTTAAACTTTTCTGGAATGATCTAACATATGGGCTCTGAGATATGTTAGGGACACGTTTTACCTTCGTTCTATGATTATAACGATGAATAGAGGAGTTGTACTGTGTCAATCTCAGGCAAGATCATATAACAGTAAGTTAACCCATATTTCACTGGAATCTTCCAAGTTTATTCCTTAGAACGGGTAAAAAACTGCAAAACAATACAAAAACTGTAAATAGCTTCCATATATCAAATTTTTAAAAGACAAAGGACATATTCCTCATGAACTGAATAACAGATAAACCACCTTTGAGTGCTATATCTAATGGACAATGTATAAATCAAAACTCTTTTTACGGACGCTTCAAACCATTATCTCGAACATGTGGAGTGCATACCAATTACGACATTACCCAGTTGCATTAAATATTACATTTCCTTGTTACTAATGCATCTGCTACTGTATACACCAACCTGATGAAGTTGTTTACATATAATTACTGTGAAACTGAAACGCATACCTAAATCAATGAAAGCGAAGATGACGGTCCCACAATAATAAACATATTGAGCATACTTGGAAGGGTAAATTGTATTTCATACATTCATACATTCTCAAGAAACATCAGTGATCATTCGAATGTACTACTTACTCTATGCAAGCCATAAGTTGTGCCTCTTGTACACGCATTTGGGAGATTGGCTCCCAAACCGAAACCCAATAAGACCATGCGGTCTGGCCCATCACTTTTTATCTCCCTCCCAGAGAGTTTCAAAACAACTAACACACGGAAAAGAAAACAAGCGTAAGTAAAATGTGAAAAAGAACAGAGATTAGAATGGGCAACAGAACAGGAGTGATTCCTTGTATCGCTAAACCAGGCAAAGACAGAAGATTTTGTGAAGAATTGGCGTCCTATCTCACTCGTAAATGCATTATACAAACTGATAAGTACATGTATAACAAACAGAATTAAAAAGGCACTAAATCGCCTTGTAAATGAAAACCAAACTGGGTTCATCCCTGGAAGGGGCATTTCAGAAAATACCAGACTTCTTTACGCTATAATGTTTGAAATCAAAACAAAAAACAAAAAAGGTCTTTGATCTTGATAGATTTTGAAACAGCCTACTCGATACTGTCTCTATGAAATTTATCATGATGGCCTGTGATAAATTCGGTTTTTGTTGTCATGTACACTATATAGGTTAATATATTGATTTCTAATTCATTATCATGCATCACACTGAATGGGCATTTGTCTTCGTTTTATGATAATAAAGGGGTTGTAGACGGGGTGATCCAATCTCTCCATACTCATTTATATTTGTAACCGAAATATGAGGTATAATGATAAGAGACAAGAATAAAACAAAGGGTATATTGTTAAACGAAACTGAACATATCACTGGCCAATATGATGACGATTCTGAATTATTCCTAGACTTTTCGGAAGTCTCTCTGAATGAAGCAATGAAAACACTTAACACTTTCTACGATATGTCTGGTCTGAATATAAACATTGACGAAACAAAAGCGGTTTGGATTGGTGCAATGGTTGGTTGTAAAATAAACTTTATCCCATGATTTCAAGCTGGACTGGATTTGTGACAATATTGATGCCTTGGGAATAAGCTAAATACTCATCTAGAAAACCTGTGGGTGATCAATACAAAGAAGAGACTTGAACACATTAATAAAATCCTTTTGAACTGGCAACGAAAAATAACCGTTATTAAAAGGTAGATCATACATTATAACTATGTAATGTGAATAACGAATTGCTTGCTTTGGAATTTGGTGCTATGACATTTTCTGTTATTAAATAATAATGTAATGAATATATAGGTTTTTAAATGAAACTCATTTGGACTTTGTACTTAAAATGTTTTTGAATACAGACTTGTTCGATAGTTATATTCCAAATAAGGTCGTTACGATAAGGCCCCGGGACGCCCCCTGGATGAATAGTGAGGTACGTAAATTGATTCGTAAACGCAATCGCCATCATAAATTCGCAAAAAGGCGTAACTCACCAGGCCATCTGACTGGGCACTTTTTACATTGAGTAGAAATAAAGTCATATCCACAGTAAGAAATGCAAAGATGTACATGAATAAAATTGATGAACAAATGAATAATGAACATGGTACAAAAACATGGTGGCGTTTAGTTAAGAATTATATAAAAAGTAAACACACCACCAATATTAATACTTTTCCTTCGATAATCCATAACGATAAACTATATGATGATGGTGCTGAAATAGCAAACATTATGTATGATTTCTTTGCAGATCAGGCAAGAGTAGCTGCTCCTAATAGGGATATTCCTGAAATTCGTTTAGAGGTAGATAACCCATTATGTGACATAACACTCAGTCCTTCATCACCTTACTGCCCAGCCAATTATGTTAATTATGTTGTTTTCTTTGCTACATTGTTACATTCAGTGTATATATACATCCCCCCTTCTTCATGTTCCATTCCTCCTTGACAACGGTACAAGAATCTGAATCGAAACGTCACACTCACGAATAAAAGAAGTTGTTATCCATAAAGTTTGTTCTATATTTTCAGTCATCTCTCGCTCCTGAGCTGGATCACCAGTATTCGGTGCTGCTGTATTCTCAAATCATGTACTATCACGTCACATTGTAATCAGGTAACCTGTCCCTTGCTATTACTTCTAATGTTATAACACTACAAAAATGACATGGTTTCCTGAAACCTGGAAACCATCCGTAAAGTGGGCAATTGGGGAATCCAGTTCGTTTCCATTCACTGAAACTGAGTAACTGAGTTTCCAACTAGATTCCATTTTAGATTCTTTGATTTTAATTTCTGTAAATGGAAACCAACAATAAACTAAGAGACGCATTTCATTTCTTCCCATTCCTTTTTATTCACTATCAACTCATACATGTGATAGGCAGAAAAATGAAGCAGTATCCTGTTTCCGCTGCCATACACACAAACTTCACAATAATCATACTCAACATACAAATGGTGGGATAACGGAACAACGACTATAAAATGGCCGTTGTCCAGCGCCGGGCACACTTCTCAGTTTTTTTGTTTTTGTTTGTGTTTTTGTGTGTTTTTGTAGTAACACCACTCTTTCAAAATTTCTATTTCTTCTACCCCCCGCCTCATTTCTTAATAAGTGTACTACCCCTCGCCGAAATATCTTAGTTGTGCGTGCGACGTTAAATAAAGCAAATAACTACTACTACCAGGCACAGTTAGTCTCGACTGGGATAATTGAGGCAGGTCCAGGGTTCAGTTGTCTACTTTGTCAAACTGAGGATGAGAAACATTCTTTATCTAAAAATAAAAATAAATAAATTAAAACAATGATAAATATATACAAGAATAACACTTTGAAAGATGAATTGACTCAACATTTAAAAAGGTACATTGGTCAAACTTTATATTTACCTGTTTTTGTTGAACCAAGATGTTGAGTGTGTGGAAAGAACTGATATTGTGGGATACCAAATCACTCTACTGTTATAATTTTGATATATATGACACATGAAGTGTTTCACGTGTGTACGACAATAACTGTGGAGTCTGACGAGCTTACATGAACAATCATCAGTTTTAAATTTTATCATTTATTACAATCTTGATTTTTATTTAATACCAATTATTTATCGTCATTTCATATCATGGGGAATTTTGAAAATCTTAATAGATGAATGATATTCTACGATGAGTAACAATTTTACTGTAGTAATGAAAATTCCTAAACGTCAAAAAGTTAAATTTGAGGGGAAAATCGGTTTAATTATGTTTGCTTTAGAATGTGAAAGAGTATAAGCATTTAGGAAGTTTAGTATAATGGCATTGAAACAATTGTCAGTCCGGTACATACATTACAGATTTCTCAATAACTAGAATATCAGGGAATTAAGGGCTACTGATGCAGAGGGGTTCTTGTTTCGAGCCAACGTGTTAATTGCCGCGATCCGTTGTCGGATGGGCAGTGTCTGCCCTCTCGACCGTGACAGACACGGGACTGGGCATCTGACCACCTCAGCAGACTTGTCATGCGAGCCGTTCTATTATCTGAACGCTGATTGGTTCGTTACACCCTTTTCTACCTTATCTGGCTAGTTTACATGACATCGTATGCAACTACAAAAACACGTGTACCCGTGTATCGAAGAGAGGATATAGTTTCTGAATATTTGTTTTACAAAAAATTCCTTGCAACGGTTCATTGCTACAGTATTACACTTGCGGACAATCTCAGCAGATTCTCAGAACGGTTTATGTAAATATAGTTTCTTATGGAAGCATGTTATTATTTTATCTTTTTCACAAATGTTAATATGATTTCAGGACCTTGATGGTGACATTGATCAAACCCCTCTTCTGCCAAAACCCACCCAAAAGAGGAAGAGGAAGGCTGCAGCTGATACTCGGATGCGCAGAAAGCTCCAGGTTGACCAAGTTCAAGTGCAGGTAATGTTTTTTAAATGAAT